CGTCCTTTCTTTCTTCCGGCCAACTTCCAGCAGAAGCAGCCACTGACTCGTGCTACAGAGCAAACCGTTCATAGGATCGGGCATTCTGATGGAAGGTTCATGGGAAAAGCATCGTAATTTTTGTTGTAAATGCAGCAGAATGCCACTGATTGCCAGTGGAAGAGCTGTACGTTGACAGAAGGCATGCTCTGCATTCAAATAGCTCTAGGTTTTCAAACCCCATCAGTTCCAGTCAAAGTCAGGTCAATCGCATAGCTGGAAAAGGCTGCTAGCTTTTCCAAAAGTTCTGTCGCTGGCCACCACGTATGCCTTTTGCACCACTGAGCTCTTTGCGACTGTCAATATGGAGACAGTGCTATTATCCTAACGGACTGAATAACCCAGCAAAGTCCCTTCTCTTTGACTGACTAGGTGTCTCTCAGAGACACTGGGCCCACACATTCTCCCTTTGTCCTTTCTCTCTTATGCTTGTTTTGGAGCACTGAAGCTGGTAAAGTAATATTTTCTGTTATGTCTGAAATTAAAAAGTCACTTGATAATTGGTTCAAATCCAAATTATGCTTGGATGGTCATGGATCATTATATCTGGCTTCAGTATTAACCTAGCCAATATTCAGCTTTTTGGGTTATCTCTCAAGCTGCAATAGATGCTGTCTGGGAAGCTACTTCAGGGTGGCTGCTTATGAATTGCCCAAAAAAGGCAGCCTCTTTGTACACCCTGAGGCTGAGACGGATCACAATTGTTAGGGCTACACCTTTGCTTTATTCCAGGATAAGAATGGAGTATGCCAAAAGTACACGATACATTTTCTTCCTACATGTCTCACCAGACTATAAATTTGTTAGAAATGTACTCCAAAAATTGCCTTGGAAGCATTTGGCAAAAGCCAGCAGATTTTAGATTACACTGTGAGAAATGCTTTAGATTCTAAATAAAGCATTGTATCCCCTGCTAAGGAAAATATGTGATAAGGTAGGAAAGAAAGGTAGAGGTAAGAGATGGAATAAGCTAAATCCTACATTAAAAGCACTACTAAAAATATGGGGTGGGGGTGTCTTGGCAGAAGCCTGCCTCTGAACTTGAACTTCAGTTGCATAAGCATGGCCTTACAATAGAGTTAGTCATTCAGATGGCGATGGGCATATCTGAATGTCACACCAACCCACCCTTGCAGTCAGTCATTGGTGGATTGGTTGTTCTGTTAGTAACACATGGTGTAAGTGACAGACCATGGTCTGATCTTGGTATCAGACTAGTGGAAGAATATTAAGCCATAGTCTAGACACAATGAACAAGTGGGTCCTAGATCAAAGAACCATACAGTTGGAAGAGGTCCAGGAGGCCATTAGGTCCAACCCCCTGCTCAGCGGAGGACTCAAGTCTCCCATCCAGATTCTAACCACGTCAGACACTGCTTAGCTCCCAAGATTAGAGGATCAGGCACTTCAGGCTATGAGATCTAATCAGGCCAAATGATTTTACCATAGTAGCAAGAATGATGAAACTGATTATCATACTTCAGGTATATCATGAGAAGGCAAGACACACTGGAGAAGACACACTGTGCTAGGGGAACTCACAGGCAATAAAAGAGGAAGCCCAACTATGAGATGGATCAATTTTATAAAGGAAACCACAACCCTGAGTTTACAAGAGCGGAGCAGGGCTGTCAAGGACGGGACATTTTAGATGGCATTCATTCATGGGGTCATCAGAAGTCGGAGATTACTTGATGGACCGTAACAATGAAAATCATCTGGCAGCCCTTCAGACAGAAGACTGTCGCCTATCCATGGGAAAACTGGCACCCCGGGATAAGGATGGAGTATGCCTCCAAAGTTAAGCTGGAAAAATGCTGTGACCAGGTATCAAAGGTCAGAATCACAGGACTAAATTACTGGGCAAGATCTGACGCAGTAAACTCTTACTATCATATAGCCTGATCTTCCAAACTAGCACTCTCTAGATGTGTCATCCACATGCTTGCTGACCAGGATGGAAATTGTAGTCCAAAACATCTGCACAGCATTAAGCTGAGTAAGGAAGAGAATGCGTGAAAGCATCAGAAAAATGGACATAAAATCCTTTTGTTCCTTGTCAAACATTTTGCACAATTTTGTTTTGAGGCATGCACCCCAAACAATTAGGCATTTTTTTAAAAAGCTGGCCATAGCAAAGCAGAGCAAATTCAGACAGATATTTCTTGAGAGTCTCTTTGTACACCCTAAAGCTGAGACAGCATCGCAGTAATCAAGGCTAAGCATTTGGTGCCAACTGAATAAACCCGAAGGCATGCAATGCATTTTCTTCCTACATGTCTTACCAGACTATAAATTTGTTAGAAATGCACTGAAAAAAACTGCCTTGGAAACATTTGGCACAAGCCAGCAGAATTTAGATTACACTGTGAGAAATATTTTAGATTCTAAACAAAGCCCTGTTTCCCCCACAGGAGAATATTTGATTCGGCAAGAATAATCATAAAATGAGGGGAGAGGAGAGAGATGTAATAACAGGTCTTGGCAGAAGCATAAACAGGGCCTTTAGAGAAGTCTTAGTAATTGCTTTGGGCACTTCTATATGTCACCCTAACTTGGGCTAGTAATTACACATGGTGGGTTAACTGCTGTGCAAACAAACCATAATGCAACCAGCAGAAGATCAGGCTTATCATGGACTGCTGGCCTCCTCCTTTCTCCTTTTCTCCCTTGGTCTTCCCAGTGACCAGCGCCTAAGTTATGGAATGCGCTCCCCAGAGAGGTCCGCCTGGCGCCGTCGTTATTTGTTTTTCGGCGCCAGGCGAAGACCTTTTTATTTAAGCAGCATTTTAAATGTTAATATTATTGAATTTTATCTGGCCAGGGCGGCTTATTTTATATTGTATAGTTGTATTTTATTTTAATGTATATATTTTAATTTTTACTTATGATGACCTTATTGTTGTAAGCTGTCCCGAGGCTTCGGCGAATGGGGCGGCATAAAAATGTTTTAATAAATAAATAAATAAATAAAGTACTGAGCTGTCTCCCTGTTCCTTGCTGAGGCTCTTTATCACTTCATTCATTTTTTTCCTTGAAGATTGCAAAAGCTATCTATAATGATGATTACAGATAATCCTTTCAAAGTGCCCCAGCAGTACCCTGGAGGTTGACCACAGTTGCTAAACATTTTTAACCCCCCTCCACCATACACTTCATTCCTCAGGGAAAAAAATATACATATTGCCCTGCACTTGTCAATGGATTCCTGCTAGCAAAGTCCAGCATGTACCCACACAAAGGCTACAGGGAGGTTTATCTTCCCCTTTGGTTCCATTTGAAGCTTTCAAAAAGCGAGCTGCCAAATGTAACCAAAGGTATGAGCAATCCTAACTTGCAAAAATGGAGTTGTTTGTTTTGGGACGCATATGTCCTCAGGGTGTACTTATTTCTGAAGTTGTTCCAAAGGTTCTACATCGCTGGGAACATGCAGAAGGGTGATCCTCTCCCATTGCAATGACAGGACGGCTGTCAAAAGCAACACCCATTTTAAAGTGGGATTTAGAAATGGTTAATTTTTGTGGAGAGTGGGGCAGGAAACTATACAGATATGTAGAGGCTTGAGGCTAAGATGCGTCTGAGCAGAGATCCAGACTGACTTTCTCCACTGCCACTATGGATGGACCATAAGTTGCCACAGTGAACAAACAGTTCATATACTTGCCAAGGCCTCCTGATCAGCAAGGGGTCTGCCACACCAACGGGGATGCTATTTTCATGCTGCCTCCTAACTCCCTGAATGTCCTGTGCAACATGAGAAAATTATCCATTTAAAGAACCCTTGTCAGATCATTGGTTCATCTAACTCAGTACTGTCAATATCAGGCAGCCCAAACTGTTAGATGTCTGGGACTACAACTCCTATCATCCCCAGTCAAAATGGGCAATAGACAGGAATGCTGGAAGTTATGATCCTGAGCATTTGGAGTGCACAGTGCTGAGGAATGCTGGCCTTTACTGACAAGCAGATGCTTGGGTTTCAGACTAGGTCCTTTTCCTAACCACTGGCCATGCTAACTGGGCCTGATGGAAGTTTTCAGACCAACAAAAACTCTTCAGGATGTCTAGCCCCAGCCATCATCTTTTCTACCATTTCTAAAACAACAAAGGATCCCATAATGCCTGAAACTGATGACAACTCCTATACCGGAAAAGTGCCCTGCAGAAACGTGTAATTTATCTTCATTGTCATTTTGTATGGCCAGGAACGCTGCCTGCCATCAATATTCCTTTGAATGCTTTTGCGCCCAGTGTGGTCTCAGAGGCATTCTTAGAAAGTTAAGAAGGCAGGTGGCCCTTTAAATGTTCTACCCAAATACAGTGAACCAGATTTCCAGGTAGAAGTTTGGGAATGGCAAAGGAGAGGCAAAGCTGAAGGATGGAGAGGGAGAAGCCATGAGAACCGGCCCAGCAACCAATGAATGACCCAACCAAATGGGCAGAGGACATGGGGACAACAGCTTTGTGGTGGCTGTGGACACCATCAGTACAGGTTAGGGAGGACTGCAGGGAGACCCAATTTTGTGTGTGACGGAGGAGGAGGAATGAGAGCAAGCAGGTTAGAGGTCTGTGCACATACTACATTTTTGGAAAAAACTGATTTGGGTGTGGGGCATGTGTGAGAAAGATTTCTGAGGAGTGTTTGATCTTGAAGCCAAGAGAGAGAGAGCAAAGACTTGTGGGTTCAAAGAAGTGCTTTGGCGGCTCAGATCCAACCCCTGCTTTGTACTCAGGTTCTTGGGCAAGTTACTAGTCTTAGAGGCAATTTCTGTGAAATAAGCAGCACCTCCCTTTAGGATCTTACCCATACAGCAATTTTAACATGTGGTTCTTACAGTTACGTTGGCTGCTGCGCTAGTGCGTAACAACCAACTTTCTCAATGCCCCGCTTAACCAGCACAGCTCAAATTACGCAAATCTATGCAGTCATCATGAAAATATAATCATATTGCGGCAATTACATTTTCCCCACAATAGGGCTTGCAGCTGTTTAATTGCCTCCCTCAGAAATTTCTTCCTGAAGCGAAGGGCCTGACTTCAGTGGAACGGGAGTGTCATCAGCGGAGAAGACGCTCCAGTCTAGGTCAAGTCTCTGCAGGTCCAAACCAGCAAAATGTCGATGAAAGCAAAGCAGCCCTTGCCAGTTTGCATCAGCGGAGGCACTGGAATTTTACATCGTTGTGGCAGTTCCTTTTCTGTCAGCTGTTTCCACGTATGCTTCATAACAATTCAGCTTGCAGTAGTGATTTCCATGTGAATGACTCCCTCGGCTTTCTCTGAATGGACGACTCTGTTTAACCAGTCGCTTCTCCAGGGGCCCAAACTGTCACAGACATTACGCACACTCTTCAGTCTGACATGAGACAAGAGGGGGTTTCTCCCCACCCAACAATAGCCCAGATCAGTCTGAACGAGTACTTGAGCCTGCTTACAAGTAGGCAGAGGCAGTATCAAATAACTCTGTGAACAGCCCATCAATAACCCCATTCATACTTTATAATCCTCAAACGTACTTCATGGTTCATTTGTTCAAATCATTGTTCGAAGCTGCTATAATCAGGTGCCATTAACTAGGAACCTGACAAATTGTTTGGAAGGTTCCATGTATGCAGTGGGAAAAAAAAACTGAACAAAACACCCAGCTCTTCAGAAGCTGAAAAATAGCTTGAGCAGACTTTCCCCTCAGAGGTTTATACACAAATTTGAACATGCATCTCAGGTGCAATGCTTTGCCTTTTCACATACGGCAGAGAAACACCAGCGTGAAATACAACTCAGCTTCTCTCTGTCTGGACAACATGTTGTTAATGATACCCTCTCACAGGCTGGTTGCTCAGCATTTAAACCCACTTGGATCAGCAAGTCCACTTCCAAATTAAAATTAAAGCTGTAATTATGAAGAGGCCTTTCTCTCACAAAGGTGTTACGCTAGGAGTTGGGTTCCCCCCGCAACAGACATCAGTCCTATACAAACATGGCTAGTTGCTGCTATACATTGTGATTTGCTAGTGCTATTTACGAAGCACTGTTATGAAAACAGCCAAGGCTGTCGGGTGGTATAGAAATGCAACAAATAATTTACACTGTTACATCTCTACTTAGCTAAGCTATGGCAGGAAACCTGTGTTTCATATGTATAGGTGTAGCATACCAAAATTGTTAGTGATTTTTGAATAATATTGTTTCAAAGAGTGGTTAGAGTGTCGGACTGGGGACCCAGGTTTTAGTCCTCACTTGCTGACTTTGGCTCAGTCACTTACTCTCAGCTTAACCTTAATCACAGAATTGTTTTTGTAAGGATTGACATGGCTCTGCATCAGCCACTGCATGTAAAAGATGGGATATAAATACAACGCAATTATAACCACCACCACAACAGCAGGACTTGATTCTGCCTTGCTCTTTTAGGGCTTCTCTACATGGAGTGTTTACCCCAGTGCTTTACCAAGGCTGTTTCTTTGTCCAGCGGTTTTCCTCTCTGTCTCTGTTTCTATCGCTATTTGTTCCATGATATAACACAAGGTGGCACACAGTGGAATCAGAGTTTACACGAGGCTTCTATAGTGCCTAATGGTGTCATTCATTAAAATACTGTATTATCCTTGCTGAAAAATGCTGGAAAACAAGGGATAGTTTCTGAGAGGAGGATGAAAAGGACGTGCAAACTTCAGTGAGTCATGTTCACAACAACAACCTCATGCAGAACAACACTTAATAATTGTAAGTGTTTTAGACTGACTTCCCAGAAACATTGAATTGTGCTATATAGAATAATTGCTAACATGGTGGATGAGGACAGGTAGACAGGCAGACACAGCAAGGAGCAGTGACAGCAGGGCGAAGGGCTCCAGAATTTGGCAGCAGGTCCCCTCTGGGTGTTAAGGTCTGGGCCATGGGCTGCGGGTAGCAGGGCAGATGTACTGGGATGCAGGCAACAGTACTCACAGCAATTTAGAGTGCAGCACCATCCGAAGTCCAGGAGCAAAGTCCAATAACACGTCCGAGTTGTAGTCACAGAGCAAGCAAGGTCAGAAAACTCAAGTACATGGTGGAACAAGACAAAGGCACGGTCAGAAGCAAACCAGGAGTTGATAACCAAATAAACAACAGAGCGGGGGGGGGGGGGCGGTGTGCAGGATAACCAGGCAGGACCAGGTATAGGAAAGCAAGAATAGGATCAGCCAAAATGCCAGGCCAGAAAAACAGCCACCGCACTCAGAAGACTTGAATTGCTGAGACCAGTTCTGGAGGAAGGGCTGACTCTTATATAGCTCTTCCTGCAGGACTCCCAGCTGGCACTCAGGAGGCTGAAAGCTCCAGCTTGGCCTAGGCCTGATCCTGCAAACATTGAAGTCAGAGCTCTGTGGAGCCCCAGAGAAGCCCAAATCCCAACAGTGGGTCTCAGCAGAGGCTGACTATGGCACGGTCACTAGGGAGCAAGGAGACCTCCAACAGACAATGGTAGTCTTTTATCTGGCCTCCATTTCCACAAAGAGAGAAGATACACTTTCAGCTTTCTGAATTTCCCTGTTGTCAGCAAACACACCATCTCCCTCATATGCGCTAGCCTTATTCCAAAATGCAGAACTGCATCTTCCTGCCCTCCTATTAGCAGGGTCACAGGACTGGTGTGTTTTTATCCTGGCAATATTAATGAGTATTAACATCCATTCAGTAAGCTCTTTGAACCCCAAAGCAGTAGCATTAAATGTAAGATCATTTCTGTACCAGTATACAGCTCTTCTGCAATACACTTGTTAATCCACTGTATCTTGTTTCAGTTTCATCACAGCTGCACACTACATTTTTGGCTTTCTCACTAACTTAACCTCTAGGTGGCACTGTGTGTATTGTGAACTAGTATAAATAAACATGTGAAAAAAGTATATTCTTTTGCTTTTAAATGACATCTTTTCTATGTTCTAAAATATTCACAACAAGTTAATTTTAGATACAGAAGTGAAACTGGAAGGTCACACTATCATCTAAAGAACTTACAAGAAATTGTGAGTAAAAAATGATGAGCACACAATAAACATCTCATATAGAGAAGGCCGTATCCTTAAGGTTGTTGAGGCTCAGCCTTCCGTATATCTGAAATGAACACACTAAAACCCTAAGCTGAGAAATGGCTTAGTCTACAGGAAGTTGTCCAAGCTTAGTTCTCCAAGGATCTCTTAGCAGTTTGGGTTGTTGGCTAGATACATGCGAAGTAGGAACTTCCTCGGAACATTTTCTTATGTGTATGCAAATGCAATTTCCCTTCCAACTGAAGCTCATACATCCTCCCATATGGAATACAAATATCTCCTTTCCATGCTTTTACAAGTGGCCCAGTATAAAGGTATCAGTATGAAGCCAATGACTTCTAGCTTTCCTATTGCTTTACAATAATAATGAGGGGGAAAGGTTTGGCGCTTTTATTTTATTTTATTTATTTATTAAAACATTTCTATGCCACCCCTTGCCAAAGCCTCGGGGTGGCTCACAACATCGAATAAAATACACAATAAATTAAAACAACAACAAGCTTTTCTCTTGTCTTCTTTACATACAGTAAGTTCATTCAATAATACCTGCCATCTAAAATTACCCTTGAATAAATTACTTTAACACCCAGGTGTGTAAGCATGCATTCAAGCTTAAGAAGGAAACCTCCCATTCCCTTCAGGGAGCTTTGGTGTGGATTACAGATGACTAAAATATAGCAAACAAGCAACAACCATTTCCTGTTCCAAAGACCTAAAAAGCAGAAGGCGCCAGATTCATTCCACAGCATCTTCAGGTATGGTTAGAAAAACTCCAGTCCCAAACCCGAGACTACTGCCACTGTTGACCATGCAGGACTAGGTGAACCAAAGATCTGACTAAAGTTAGTCTCCTATGTTCCTAAGCCACTGTAGGGGTATGCCTAGGACAGGCTTTAGGGCTAAAGTTGAGAAACACTACAGGTGTACCACTGATGGGGGCAAATGATGGCAGATGCAGAAGCAAATTCCTTTTCATGGCTTAGCCATGGAAGTGCTAGGATTTAGGTAAGTTTAAAATGCAAGCTTGCAGATATTGAGAACATGCTGGGGGGAAGGGGTAAATTAGGATTGTCAAATACTTTTGTTGCTTTAAGATATCAGGAATGCAGAAGCAGTCTTAGACCATGGAGCAGTGATTCAAAGTGGGGTGAAGGGAAAAGTAAAGGGCATGTACAGGGGGAAGAATTAGTGATTACAATCCTGCTCCCACCCCACAACCCACGTCTTTGATGAAGATTTGAGAGGTTGTTGTATGAACACCTCTGCTGTAAACAGTTTGAAAAAAGGGATTTAGCAACTTGTGGCCCTCCAGATGTTTTGGCCTACCCTTCCCACCACTCCTAGCCAGCATAACTATTGCATGATGCCAAAACATCTGGAGGTCTGCAAAATGCCCACCCTTACTTCAGACAGACCCGGGCTAGTAATAGGTAAGGAGATGCAACCCAATTATTAGGTCAAATAAACTGTATTCCCTTTTGCTTTCAGTGGCAATCAAAGTGAGCTGGATGTTGAATAAAGGAGTATAAATAAATCGCAAATAAAAGAGCAGAATGTGTTTTTTATGTATCTGCATATAAACAGTTTAGGAGTATGAAATGTCATAGGCTAATCAGCAGCCTATGGAATAGATGAGTTAACTCCCCTGGGACACTGCCCCCCTCAACAGCCAACAATGGAAGTGAAGCAGAACTTCACTGGAATTGCATTCCATAGCCTGGTGCTCCTACAAAAAAGCCCCTCTCTTTTGCAATCACCAGCACATGGCTGAGAATGATGTGAAAGATAATACGACATATATGATGATCTCAAAACTCAAACTAGGCTGTTAAACAACCAGGTAGCCAGTCAAGGTCTTTATGGCATTAAAGAACCAATGCTTTGAACTGAGCCCAGAAACAAACTGGTAGCCAATGAAGATGGCTAACCATGGTTCAAGTCACTGAGGGAAGGATGGTGTTTGTGTTTGAAAGAAAGCGAGAACTGGTACAGGGTGGGGGGAGTTCCCATATCTCA